CATTCTTGAATGAAAACCTACTCGCACGGAGGAGTTAAATATGTTTCGAATAGGTCTTAATTTCATTTATGACAGTTACAAAGAAGGTAATCTTTGTTTAACTATTGCATCCAATGCAGAGTGTCTTACAGGTCTTCATTTAAAAGTTGTATAGTACCCGCAGTACTGAAAGGTGGTATTCATTCCCCGGAATAATCGTGCTAGACTGCAGCTATTGACCGACTGTCATCACACGGGTGAGCGGTCAAACTTTCAGGTTCACATCGGCTAGACGGATCTTTTAAAACCATTAGCTTAGAGTTATGCCAAATTATACCGCAACCCACTCTATCTTAAATCAGGTAATAGGAAAATTTTGGGATTTTAACTTAGCCTGAGGCAATTAATGACCGTAACTTGTAGGATGTATATTAGGGTGTATGGGCCCTGCCAAGCGCAGGCAGACGTCAGTCAATCTTTACTTCTCATTGTGCCTCACTGTGCTATTCTCCTCCTTTTTCAAACTCGCATTTCATAAAATGTCAACTCATATCACAAAATGATTGGAAGTGTTTCCGGATTGTCTGCCTTACAAACTAAGGCAGAGTCTATTTCAGAGCCAAGTTCTTGTCACGTAGCCTCTTGAATAAGGCGTAGAATGTCGTAGAAGGGATGGCCAATTCTTATTTGATTCTGTTGGTGAGCCACAGAAAAATTGATGCATTGTATTGGGAGAGACCTTCTGCCTCAAATAAGAACGAGGAATTGGGTGTTGCCGTCAGTTATAACAATTATAGATTTTAGTCTTTAGTATGCCTTTACCGTAAAATCTTAAAAGTAGTGGGTGCGGGCATAAGTATTTCATCTATGAATATGATAAAGTTAGAGTGTTTTCACCCCATCTGCTCCACCAAACAGTACCCCGTAATGCATGTCTGTTGGGATGTACCTTTTGGGAGACAAGCAGCCAGTCTACAGGAACCTCGTGACTGAGCAGACGCCATCGGCTCCTGAGGAGGAACAGCGCTCCGAGCGCATATGATCTCGATTCCTTGTGTGCATTAATAACACTTGTTTAGTGAAGGCCGTCCTACTCTAACCGGTCTGTTCATTTCATAGATGTAAACGCAGAATCGAAAGGGCGAAATACTGAACCTGCTACAACTTAATGAATGTAGAGATATAAAGAAGAGTACATATAAGTAGGTTAGCGGTAAGACAGATAAATCACTGGACGAGATCCAAATCGAGTTAATTAATGAATTTTACGTAGTCTCGACATCACCCCCCAGAAGGTATCAGTTTGGTTGACAATTCTACTGGTATTTTTCACTTGTGGCTGCCAGCAATGGCAAATTGAGTAAGTCTTTATTTCATTCCCTTGAAAGCAAAAAAATACCGAATTCTGCAGTGCTCGGTCGACTTCTCAGGTTATATTGTCCGCCAGGCAGGACAGCAGTTACCGAAGACGTACAAAGCAAGTAAGGACCTGGCCATCACCAACCAACCAATCGGATGAAATTCAGCAGTTTCCCAGGCTTGGCTTCTAAAGTTTGATTTCCAAATGTATTAATTTGGAAAGTGGGTCGTTATTGCACAGATTTTATAGTGTCCTCTATTGTGAGTGTTTTAGTCACCCAATGACTCTCAAATAAGAAGTCTAGAGTGATGATGAAATGCTACGGTTCCATGAGAAGGAGTAATTTATTTCATATCCTCAGAGCAGTCAAACCGCCTTATTCGCTGTCTTAAACAAAGAACGAAAAATATTCTTATGAGTAAAGTGGGATTTAGTGTTTGTTGCTTTCTTCCATCAAAACAAACTCAACCCAAGGCAATTCGAAAGGCATCGGCTCGCCCGCATTGAAATTAGCACCGTCGAGAAATCGGTGCACCTTGACGGCGCACAAAAATATGCTTTTTGCCCAAAAAAGACAGAACAGTTGACGAGAAGTTAAATACCGCTGCATACATGCTACTTAGTACTTGTGTAAGTTGACATCAAAATTATGACTGATGGTCTTTAGGATTGTCTTTGCAGGAGCAACCGAAGTAGAGGACGATGTTTTTTGGGTGTTGCATTACGCGTCACGTTTTTGGCCACGGCATTGGTACCACGATATAACGTTCCTGCCATTCCCATCAGTAATCTACCACTAAAGAACCCTCGCGGGTGCAACAATACTAGGCCTGATTCTTACGAACGGCCAAATTCACCAATATTTCAAACAATACAAAAGATTGGAACGTTTATTAACATCGTCCCTTAATGCGTAAACGAAGTAACCAATTTGAAGCAAGTAAAAAAATGGGGGATAGTTCTATAAATGGGACAAAAAGATTTTTAAAGTCAAAGCCGTGTATTGCTTTCAAGTAATTCACTCAAATTTTTGCACACCAAAATGTAATATTATTAACACTTCTGCAGATATGCAGAGAAATTCATTAACACATCATACGTCAATAAAATTTACTTTGCAATAAACTCCGAGAAATAGGAGCTCAAGTTGGAGGCTAGTCAGAAACTGGTTAGCCGTCACCATCTCGGAAATCACCCACAACTGTCTCGTTAAACACTTTCAATGCGCGCATCTGCCAAATACAAGCGTTGTTGCCTCCATGCAATCGATTGGGCACTTTCCTAACTCAATTTTTCCTACCAAAATACACAAACAAAACTTTTCATTGCAGAAGACATTATGAAATCTAATGAGCCTGATAAGAGAAGTGATGTGAATCTTCTCAGGTCTACAACTTCCGCTTCAAAAAGAATCTAGCAAATAAGGAGCTTGAAAACACAAATTGTATAGTTTAATTGAAAACGTTTTAGCATTATGCATATCCACTTCAAACAAAGCCAGAAATCATCTTAGAGGAATTAGAAGTTCAAATTAACTGGCACTAACTCAGCAGTGGATCATTTTCTACCTCAACCCAATGAAATGCATTGGCTCGGACATAAATGTACGTAGTGGCCTTGTTTAGAATGCCCCGGGGGTTTTACCATGATAAGCTCAAGTAAAGATGGGACGATGAAGTGAACATAATGCGATTCAAGGCATTTAATTTCGCTTTTAAAAGCACCTTTAATGTTCATTGTGTGGACTTAGGGTATAATAAATTTTAACATTTCGGCTCGTGGGGAAGAAAAAAGTTGACGGAAATGTTGAAAGTTAATGCAATTTTAGCACCTCAAAAGAAGTCAATGATAGGACAGCAAATGCATTACCGACGTACCGGGAATGTTTCGGAGGCGACGACAATAAGCGTAAATACATTGACGGAGACTTAAGTGCCTATGTAACAAAGCGCCGGGTTAAACCAACTGTCAAGGTAAGACAGTTGTACAAAAGTAAAAAGTGAAATTTCGCTATAATATCCACTGAAGTAGGGGCAAAATCTGCGGCCTAGGTGTGTACTAAGCAGAAATAATTTAGCCGAGGTTCCATTTGTGTTACTCCTGTTAAAAGTCCATTAAGGGCCTATTTGTACTTTACAAGTTGGTTAATTCCCCTTAAAGGACCTAGATTCTACCACACCAGGACTATTTGATTTCCCGGCTTTATATAGGCGATATTTTGCCTTTGCTTTGTTCGTTTACCGGACATGTGTTTAGCAGCTCTTGGTGAATAGGAGCCTTCATCACCAAATAAGTTAATAATTAGATGACCCAACCTAGGAGGGAAATATTAAACAAATCAGTTTTACTTTCCGATGCTGACAGTTCACTATAAAATAAGCCACTAACTACTTCAAAAGCATCAAGTAGCTTAAGTAATCAAGAACTCCAAAAGACACTCCTTAATTCTTTTTCAAATTGCACATTTTTTGAAGTATTTAATCGCTTAGCTGCTGAAACGTAATATTGCGATGCACGTTTGCTTGAAGGTACTTTTAGGCGAGAGACGGGAAGTAAATACAAACTTCGTGACAAATCGGACGCCATCGGTCCCCAAGGAGAAAACGAATCTTAACACGCTTAGCCGTGATATCTGTAACCCTTTATTTATTCCCACCGAAAGAAGCATATCCTCCTCCAACTTGTCTCCTTGTTCAAGTGGTATGAAGGCCAAGGTGAAGGAGAAACATTGAGCTTACCACACTGGTGTCAGTGATGGTGGACCAACCCTCATTCAAGAACGACATGGACTTCAAAACGTCTTATTCAACCTCTGGTTCGAATCGCAGCGTCAGAAATCGCTTCAGATTCTAGATGTTTCTCCCAAAAACCCATTCTTGGCTGCCGTGGAGGCCAGCGTGAACCCAGAGCAGACGATGAGGAGCACGCAAAGAACCCTCAAGTACGCGCGGAACCAGCTTTTCGCAGCATGCCTTCAACTATGACCGCAGGGTGGATAACCGTCCAGCTCAGACAGATTCCTATCAAAACCTCTAAACCAAGCCACTTTATAGTCCAAAAGTACGCTTTAGTGGCAGTTTCCTCGCAAATTTTCGGTTTTTTCGTCCAATGATTCCCAGGCTAGCGACACTTCCCTCCAGCGACTGACGTTACGCGCCGGAAGTTGAAGCCGGATACAATCTCACGAATCAAAGGCACGCATCGCAAATTCTGCGGATTTCGGTTGTCAACAAGGCGGTACGCCAATCACAAACCGACTCCTCATACGTTCTTATGTAAACTTCATCCTCACTGCTACTGAAAGCTCCCCAAAATCGACCTAGAGCATTGCAACACCGCTATTGTTAAGGACTCCCCAGTGGGAAGGATCCACTGCCAATTTCGAAAGAACTGAACACCACCATTCGACTAGGAGGTGCAGAGAACCTTGTCGCGTCGTGCGTTCTACAGTCTTTCGCTACTTTATAAGCGACATGCTTTACCCAGATAGGACCACATCGGTTTTGGGTGCACACCGTTCACTCGAATGACCTTCAAGGACGAAGTCAAATCTCACAAATAACCAAGTGGCCCATCATACAAGAAACAAAAGAGCCGACTTTATTGATAAGCACGAGTACAAAGCAGGATAAAAAACACATCAGACTGCTCCCTCGCCCCCTCACAACTCCGTGTGCATTTCCATCAGTTTAACTGGGTCATGATGACAAGTGGCAGGAGTTTCCAACCTCATCTTATAGGTACACCTAGAGGGCTCTTCTGCTGACATCAGCCTATTCTGAGCTCCACACACCACCTTCACCTGAAAGACGTGTCACGTAAATGCTCAATCAGTAAAACGAAAGTTGTTCGTATGAACTATATATCCATGCGAGTACTACCAGCATCTTACCGTCAAGGACGCATTTCTTTACCTATAGCTTCCCAGCCTTTACACTACCAACAAACTATTCTTCCACATTGACATGTACTGACGCGTCTATAGACATGACGAAAAAGGTTACGCATAAAATGGAGGTCGTATACATACACATACAAAGGCTACAAAAAACTAACTTTAACGGAGCGACTGGGTCCGTTCCAGCACTGTTCGCCCCCATCGTAGAGCATCTCGTTGTAGGGCAATTTGGCCAGCTTCTCCTCTTTCGACCAGTGGACAGAGTCCTCCGGGTGACCAACCCATCCACTCCAAGAACCAAGGAGAGTTCCACCTGTCGAGTGGTGACGCGGACGCTGACGAACCTCCTTGAAGGCACAGAGTGAGTAGATGTACTCCTTATTTTGCACCTCTAGGCAACCCGTTGATGGCTCTGTAAGCATCATGAAACCCTTGTCTGGACCGTAGTCAATTGGTTTTGGTGGGGGTGGTGGGGGCAGTGGGGGCGGTGGCGATGGCGGTTCGTAGGACTCTACGACCTGAGCTGAGCTGCGTAAAAAGTTGGCGCAAAAACGATTCCCATTAAAGACATTTGAGAAGTAAATAAGCATAAAAAATTAAATACGACTCGTAGCATCTAATTGAAAAAAGGATGGTTAGCGAAGCACTCAAAGTTAAGCGATGAGAAAAGCAATACCAAGCAATAGTCATTGCGCATTTAGTAAGTCAGTGTGGGAAAGATATGCATTCAGTAAAAATCCATTAGATTTGAAAAAGCACAGTGTAAAAACATTAATCTGAAATGTTTGAATCAAGGAACTCAAAACAACTACGTAAAGTACAACCATGCCCATGCGGCTGAAATTGATTGGGCAGCAAATAAGACAAAAACGAAAAAGGAAGAGTACGGCCTATAAAAGCCTCACCCATTAGAAAGTGAAAAGAAAATTAACACAGAGGCGTTTACGGCTAAAATTGCTTAAAAGCTGCCAGGAGAAACAGAAATGTCGTATGATGAGTCAGTACTTGAGGGTGAAATCCTTAACCAAAGTAAAAAAGGAATCTAAGAAATGAAATAACCCCCAGACCGAAATCATCCAACATGTTTTACAGATTTAAATTAAATAAATCTGCTTGCAGCAAGATCTGGTGCATTTATTTACCATAAAATGATCAAGAGCACACGTCTGACTTTAACTTACCAATTTAAAATGCTAAGTAATCTATACTTTTATTACACAGTATTAAACGGTAGCATATTCAATCGTAAAACTGAAAAATATGAAACAAAACTACCAACTCAACCCTCCCTTTGAGATGAATTCGAGGATACCGATAAATTCACCGGGGTGAGAAGAAAGAACCCTGAAAACTTACTCGTCGTCTTCTACAAAAGCAAAGTAGATGGATAAGGGAATAAAATAGACTAATTTACAATAGCATGAGAAGTACACAAAACTCAAAGGTTACAAAGCACATGACCGCATCTGTTTTGTGAAACGTTAGAACAAAAACATATGCTTTGATCGCGCCCAACTGTTTGCGATAATAAATAACAGAATGACCCAGTGTAGCAACCAGTACATTGTTAACGTCTAACCAGCAAGGCATATAGCGTTCCATCGCTCTGATCTGGGGTTTTGAACCGAGGAAGAAAGGCAACTCACCGCTCGGTACGGAAGCGCCCCCCTCAACACCCTTCGGAGGATTCCATCCATCATCCTGCATGTCCTCTCCGCCCTCGTGCTTTTCATCGTACAAGGAGTCCTCATGAATCTGATCTGGTTCAATCTGAAAAAGATTTGATTTATTGCAAAAATAGTTCAAAATTTGCCCAAATTATCGGAGAATGGTTATGATGATTACTTCCTCGCTATGTTCCTCTTTGTCTTCCCCCGATGGAGGCACTTCATTATCAGATTCCGAGTCAGCAGGCTCATTTGACGTCTGTTTTTCGGCTTCTTCTAGAGCCCGCTTCTCCGCCTCCTCGGCTTCACGTTTTGCTTCCTCTGCCAGTTCAATAGTCTTCTGAAGAGTAGTAGGATGAGGAATGGAATGAAACCAGCAAAGGGGAAGACACAAATCTACCAAAAATGTGTGAAGATACCTAACACATATCATAGCTACTATCTAATCATACCATTAGATTGGGAAACTAAAGCAAATCAAAATCTGTAATCAATTCACTAAAGTGGCGTGGCAAAACCTACCCTCGCGACATACTCCTGGTAGATTTGATGACCACTTTCAATTTCTTTACGCCTTTTCTGAAGCTGCTCTTCCCTTTCTCTAGCCAATGCCCTAAATTATATCAAGGCGTAACGTTTGCAAGAGGGAGCAAACATCACAAAATCGATTAAAGTGCATACCCACAAGTGTTATTGCACTTAACAAGTCCAAAATACTCATCAGATCCGTCACAGCAGTCTAAAGTTAAACCATTTAGCGTTTGAAGTACTTACCACAAACCATATCGTTGACAAAACTTGAGGGAATAAAGACACCTTCATGGCCAGTATTGGGACAATAAAACTTCATATCGGGGCATGCGGAAGTACCTGGCTCATCAGATCCATCAAGACAGTCGCAGTAATCATCATTTACTTTATCCCAAGGTATAGTTGCGGATTTATCCAAGCATGTGAAGGGCTTAAATGGCACGTAAAAGACGATACCTAAAGGCACGTATACAAACTACAAGCTTACTTGATGGATGCACACCCGTTGGCACTTCAGAAGCCCAAAGCAGGGCAAATAAACAAAAGAGAACAACCGCCCGAAATGGCATCGCCGGCACCAGTGAATAAACTGGGAAATTGGCTGTCATCAGAAAGCTTGTCACCAGTCCGTTATAAGCCAATCAGGACTCCGCTCGGGTCATGGGGATAGGTAGCATAATACCAAGAAAGCAACTGCATTATATTGCAGTAAGGCAAAACCAATACATATGCAAAAGGCCCGTTTTTGTTTTTTTTTCAAAAGCTATGCATTCGAAAGGTGCTTTATCCAGAGAGGTACAAGATAAGTATGGTAAGAGAGGGGTAATGTCGGCATCAAGAAATAGTTACCTGTAAATAAAAAAAAATGGTTTTTAGGCCCGCGTTACAAAAAACATTTACGAAGACACATTTGTTATATGCGACGGTAGCGCAAACGCTTATTACAAGTTCAAAAGGTCGACTCTATATCCTAGCATAAATCACCAGTTCCGTTACTGTCCCACAAAAAATTGGTACTTTAAATTTAGACTTTTCGACAAGAGTCCAATCTAGAGATATATGCAAAATTAATCTACTAAAGCAGGGCCTATTCATACTTGCAAATTCCAAAAACAAGAAATTTGGTGAATTTTCGGCCTTTTTGGTGAAAAGCTCTGGAGGCTTATAAAGTGCAAATATAGGACATATCTTGTGATGCAATTTCTAAATAAGTTTTTTTTACAAAATTTTTTGTTCTGTACTATTAGTTATGTTTTCACAACCAAATAAGTTAGAACAACCCATGAGATTGAAGTTCTGCTCTTAGCGGGATTTTGAATGCAGCATCAGTTAGAAATATTTGAGGTCAACCTGGGAGCGCATACGTCATTTCAACCAAAATGAGCAAAAAGTGTGATAAGGTCTTATACCTTAGTTCTTACTTTTTTTATTAGAAGAAGGACCAGGATGATTGTGACGAGAGAATTGCTGAATATAGGGAGTCGTTTGATTTATTCGACAAAGATGGAAATGGCAGGATTTCAACGAAAGAACTCAAGTCAGTTATGAGCTCATTAAGCCAAAATGTTACTGATGCTGAAGTTCAGCAAATGATTAGACTAGTTGACCTAAATCGTATTTATTTTCCTTATTTGTTTATGCTTGCATTAAGGTGACGGTGAGATTGACTTTAGTGAATTCGTAAAGATGATGAATAATTGCAAACCAACAAGCGATACAGAGCGATTGCAGGAGGCCTTTAGAGTGTTTGACAGGGACGGGAATGGATACATTACTGTTGACGAAATGCGGTAAGTTTTTTAACATCCACATGCTTTCATTTAATTACGATGTGGTTGTGAGACCTGACGAATTGAGCAACCAGTTCTTTTTGCTTATCATTAAATGTAATTGGTTTGTAGATTGGTTTTTGGTTTTTATAAGAATGTTTATTGAAGGCAGGTGATGTGCAATTTGGGTGAAAAGCTGACAGATGAGGAAGTTAAGGATATGATCAAGTCGGCCGATATGGACGGTGACGGTCAGGTCAATTTTGAAGGTGCGTCCAAGATAATGATTTTTAGTTGTTAAAATAGAATATCAAAGGCTTCTGATGTTTGTCTATGCGACTGTTCCTACTAGTAATATAGCTGGTAATCTCTTAGCCTTGCATTCCTTTACAACGGTAAATAGAGGTGATAAGTAGTTTGTGATCGTCGTCGAATGGGATGGTAATATGCAAGTGTCATTAATAAAAATTTTCCCACTACCTTTTGAAAAACTGAGACCTATATTTTTTGCAAAGTCTTGCCATATAACACTTTGTTTTACTCCTGTATTTTAATGCTATTTCGTTTGTTGAGCTTTTAATTTATTGTACGCGAATTGTGTGTTTGTTCCTCCCTACGCATTTCCTCCATAAATCTATGTATTATGTTAAAATTTACATACATCAGCTTCTTTAAAGTAGGTTAGGGATTTTTCTTACGTTACTAAAAGACACTTATTTGCGCACCGGTAAACCTTGAAGAGAAAGCCCCCGTTCTTTTAAGTAACCTCGACAACTTTTAGAATGCTGACTTTCATATCAATTAACTTGATGTGCTGCCTTACTCCCTAAAACACAAGCTGATTTTGCCTGTCTTCTGTCCCAGCATGATCATACTTCACTTTTCGTGTGTATTCTTAATTATTTTAACATGCAGATTAATGTTTAAAATGCCTTTCAGGAGTATAGTCTGGCCAAATTGTAAATAGAAGTGTTTGTTACTTCTGTATTGCGCAAAAATTTACGACTGCATTTATTCGCAATTTGCTCTCCAAAACTAACGCGGCGACTATTCGTTCGTAGTTCCTTTCTTTAATATGACTAAAGAGAGATAGGAACGGAGTTTAATTAAATGTTCTCTTCCACTTAACTTTTTAGAATTCTCTCTTGTTATGAACCAACGACACTGTGGTCATTGAGTCACTGCTTCCACTTTAACCACACACTCTTCTGATTCTAACTCTATCTCTGTGATTTTTTCTTCCTGTTTGCTCAAGTCCCCCTTATTGCTTAAGTGAATAAATTTTTATGCAATTGCTTCGTCTCAGCTAGAGACTTCTCTTTATATCAACGATAAGAACAAATCCGTGTTTTTTAAGTCTAAAAGCCGCTTCTGGATTACTGGTTGAGCGAAGTAGTTATAGAGTTGGTTGGTGATCATAAGAAGAGATGGGTAGGTATATCATAACTCCTTGAATCTGTTATTCCTTTTTCATTTTTTCTGGCAAATAATTATTCCATTAAACGGTTTCGCATTTCAGTATTTCCAAAAATTTCTTATTGCACATTCCATATAGTAGATAAATGCAGGCCCTACTTACCGATGACCGGGTATTCACTGAAGCATCACATACGGTAGAAGCTGCCCTTGTTGTGACAGTTAATTGTGCATATTACCTTCAGGTGGGTCACAGGGTGGATATGATGCAGAACAACCGTACTTTATGGGAAAGACTCAACAGAACTGCTCAAAAGACCTCTAAGCTGTCGTATACCGCATACTAACATTACTGTCCATTCACATTCGATCCACGGATCGTAAAGATCATTGGGATTGAATAAGATGTGAAAGCCTCATTTTGCTTTCTCCTAGCAACTATCACTTGCATGATTTTAATCTAACATGAGATTGTGGTTAGCTGGAGCAGGTTCGGAAAACACCTCTCGTTAGTTGTCTGCAGCAAAGTGTGCCATTTCGTTGGGTTATTTAATAAACTGCTGGTCTCAGCATTTTATTTTATGTAGTGGACTAGAAAAAATGGACCATTTCAATTTTTTTGCGAAAGGATTTTGTTGAGCCTTTGTATGCCACGTTCACTTACCAGAGTCACATATGTGTGACATGCGTTTGAAGGTAGATAATTGGTTGCAGATACATTGACTGAGTCTACAACAGTGAAATGGGGAGTAACTATCGCTGGCTTGGGATAGCTGCATTTTGTAGATTTTGAACACCACGTTGATTGGCTAAGTCGACTCTCCAAGAGGCGATGCTGCCTCAGAACAATAAAGCGGTCGATTGGTAGGGAGTGACTTTCAACTGACACCTGTTAACCTCGAAGATGAACCTTAAATAAACATTTCAGAGTTATCAGCAAGATATCGTACAAGTTTTTCCCCTAGTACTAGCTATTTAGTAATCTAGGGAAAAATGGAGGTGGTAATTAAAGGAAGCGCGACAGCACGATTGAGTAGTTCGTCTTTGTTATCAAGATCTCCTAAGACGAAGGTAACATTCGGGACACAGTGAGTGATGACAACATTTGTGGGTACGAAAAAGAACACTTTCCCAAAGCGGCCGGGCGAGCCATTAACATCACTGACATTTCTTTAGATATCTTCATAGATGACAAATTCTAGGTACTTCTTCACCTCTACTTAAGGAAGGCAACGAGGGGATTTAGTTTTCGTGAAACCTGGAAGCATTAAGGTAGAAGTTATCAAAATTAGAATAAGTCAAGTCAGTGCCTTTTTTTGACATTTATTCCCTTGAGTACAAGAAAGGAATAAAAGGCACACATTATTGTATACTATAACTGACATTGAATTGAGGAGTTCGCGAAGTCATAGATTTTGCCCTTCTATACAATGAATTTTTACACCACGAGGGAATAGATACTTGATTCGTTGAAACGCCTTTTGGTGGAAGTAGCTTTCTGGTCTCTGAGAGCTTCAGACCCACTTAAGTGCAACTGCACAGTCCAGTCTGATCCACTCGACCACTCACTCATACGGAAGCTAAAATTCCAGCCATTTGCAGTTGCATATACAGTTTTTCATGCGCCAGGTTTTACTTCGACAAAAAAGAACATCTTTACTGCACAAGCCGATAAGGGTTCTTGAATGAAGATTTGCTTGTACACAATCTCCTTTTGCCATGGTCGGTACGCATCGAAGCGGAAACAATGGATGAGCACGGTACAGCAGCTGCTGCCTCTCTTACGGTTCTGTGGAAGAGTAGTTGGCAAGCTTTCATCCATTCATGTCAAATCCACAAAATTTCCTATTCTAACGGAAAATAGAACAGTCCATCAATTTGCCTTACAATGGATGACATTACAGGTTAAGGTGGGGGTATAGGTGAGGTATCCCCTCCTGTAGCGACCAGCAGATAGCAAGACTCATGAATTAAATGGAGGCATTTATGACTTTTACCGGAGAAATGAATGGATTTTATTAGCAGTTTAAAATTACAGCACACTGCTACTGCCTTGCGACGGAGATGATCGAAGGCTTTCATGTGATTCTCGCTATGACAGTAAGCAGCAAGTAAAAAAAATCCACACTTGTGCGCCTTGCCGAGCTTAAACAGCAAAAAGCCAAGCAAATTGTATGCCCTAGTCTCCGTAAAATGTTTGCCTCCTTTAAGTTGGGTTGGAGTATTTTTGTTAGACTAGGGCACGACATTCAGAAGTTAACGGATGGTGCTTAAATTATTCATGATTAATACTTATCTAAGATTAGGATTAGCTTTTTCTGTTTGATAAAAGTGAGGCAAAAAATGGAGACGATCTGTCTTATCCGTTGCTCAAAAATTTCACTTTAAAACAGCCTAGATTAACACTGCTGCAATCAAATTCTACGTGGCAGATGGTGATGTGAAAACCCAAGAGGTGTGGCCTCAAAAAAATTGCGCATAGAATGTACAAAGAATTTGTGGAACTGCACCATAATGTGTGCAATTAGGGTGGAAGAAGAAAAAACCTAAACATTTAAATTTAGTCCACCCACTTTAAAACGATTTCATGATTCACGGCTTCAGTTTTTTGCTATCATCTGTGAATAAGGCTTCAAAATTGTGTAAAGAATAGATGTATATACATACACGGTTGTGCTGTACACTGCCGCTCAAGCTTCTCACATATGGAAGAGGATAAGTTAAGGACTTGACATTAATGCAAGGGTTACACCAACTCCACCAGACCCACTCACGGCAGCAGTACGTGTAGGCAGGTGGGTTATGACTTCACTTAAGTGTAAAGCTTTTTTTGGAAAGTAATAAAAAAAACTCCACTATTCTTCTTTTATACCCTTTTTGTGGCTGCTGTCATGCCGCACTTGCAGCTAAAATGGAGGCGACAGTGACTTTATGCTATTAGGTCCGTCACTGCTCAACCACTTTGTTGACAGACAATAACTGCAGACTCGGGTTTGGTAAAAAAATCCTACATGTTAAATGTTTTTTCCAAAGTATTGAAGACTATATTCAGCGCATACCTGTAATTTAATCTTACAGCTGAAAAGTTCGGTCACAGCTCAATTTGAGATGAATTGGGTAGACGTGTTGTTGACACGTCTTTTCGGATATTGCCTTCTTAATCCTAAAAACGTGTGAATTTGACCTCGAATATGTTATTGTAGGGTCCTGAGACCTCTTTTTAGGGCGAAAGAAAACAATGTTAGAGCAAAATATGTAATGCCAACGTACAGAAGAGATGAGGGACTACTGGCTTTGCCTGAAGCACATATCTTCCAGGGGAAGTACAGGGGTGGCGCCTTAAATGCCCACGAGCAAAACGGAAGATTAAAACATATAATCCAAGTGCAGCATTATATCTTAATGACGAATTATAAACTGAAGGCTAAATCTGATGATAAAACCTGGGGAGTCAGACAAAAATGGCAAGTCGTCAGTGCGCTCCTGATTGACAGGCATGACATGAAACGAACGAATGAGGTAGCCTGTAAACCTTTGAATTTTGTGCAAAATAGTCGATGCACTTTACCCCTCTCTCTTACTGTGATGTGAAAATGTGCACTTAAATACTTTTTTCAAACAGTCATTCCTGTTTTGTATGTATCTATTCCTAAACAAGTGTTGAGTGTTTACACAGCCACCTCAGTACCTTCTCCCTCTCTCTCTCTCTCCATAACTCTCTCTACAGTACATGGAGGTCAGGACTAGGTACGCCTAAAAAGACAGTTAAAAGAAATTTTACACAGCTGGAATAACAGTTATGAAGACCAAAGAGTGAGCTAGCAGTGCAGTGGACAGTGAACAGTGTAATTTCAGGTTGAACGGACCTTTCGTGACTTGTGACGACGGTGGTAGGTTTTTCTCGGAGCGTTTCGTCCATGAGGCAGTTTTAGAATCAACAACACATACGCAGCTAGTAAAAGTAATAATGAGCTACTAAAATCGGTTCAGAATTTATTTAGTCTAAAGGCCCCTAATAGTGATTAACTTGGAAAGACGTCGATTGCTAAACTTATAATACTCAGTGGTGGCTAAAAACGCTCGATTTTCAATGCTCAGATGATATCTTCCAGTAGAAATCCTTAATTAACAAGTCTCTTTAAGGCTACACTTAACACCATGTCACGATACTTTATAATGGGGGGGAGCATTTAAAGCGAAAGTATCATTACAGCCACTTTGAGGACTGCCAAATTTATTTCTATTTTTGTAAGCTTTTGACAAGAATCCGAGTGCATTTTAGTTGTTCATCTATAAAACAAAATGAGATTTGATGCTTCACTTTCGAAATTGGTGATTTGACGAATCTAGTGGAATTTAACCATCAGATCACACGTAGCTGCTATGAACTAAGTTTGGTTACAGAACGTAGTCTAGGGGTAAATTACCTCTGCGAATGTAAGGCCAACCATTAATATTTTCTGCATACTTTGATTGACTGTAATTTTTTCCTGTATCTTTCTCGGGTATTCTCCTTGCCTGTCTCAGTGGTAGTAGTTTAAGCCATTAATTATTGATGATAATCCACTTCTGCCTGTGTAACAAGATATATGCATATATAAGATCTCGAGAGCTGAAATAACTCCAAAATTTTACTTTTCTTCCACTTGATCTTCCTTTTATTTATGTGATAAGGCAAGGAATGAGCCTTGGTTATTTGTTATTCTCATACATCATGCCTACTATTAGATGAGTACATTAGTAGAGAGATCGGAACATGAAATGCGAGGTGTAACACCAGGAAAGATGCTGTTGGCTGATGAATTACGCGCATGGATTGTAAATTGCTTTTGACGGGTGCATTTAACCTTGAGTATTGAGAAATGAGGAGGGTGAAGAGAACGATGGGCTGCCAACAACCTTGGTAGAGGCGAATGCACTCATTTCAAACCACTTTTGGATCAGGAGCTAGACTAGATTTGATTGAAGCTAATTAATTAGATGTAGAAATTTGTCAAAAGGACAGGGGAACAAGAGGTTGGGAGGGATTCCTGTCAAATCTATGACAACCTAATCTATCCTATACGATCAGAAGTGCCCACAATTATCCGGCAGAATTTGACTTTCGGATCCGAGAAGGCGGATATAACGACCTCTTAGTGGGTCACCTTTGGAGACAAAACGTGTCGATTTCAAATGAAATGTAAATGACAACGTCCTTAGACTTTCGTGAAAGGCCATTGCTACCGTTGCGGCGAGCTCAATCGATTTAGGGACGAATTCTAATTAAATGAACACCTCGATGCAACCTTGGAGTAGTGCAATATCCGCAGTTAATCCATGCGATTTGCACAAGATCCTGAATTGTTTAATCCAACTGTTGTTGCGTGTTTTGCCTTTCCTGCTGGTTAAGTTTCTGACTCCACGCATCGTTTATTCCAGGTGGGTTAAATTCAGCCGCGTTTTACTAGCCGAAGTAGGTAATACTGAGGATAAAATACGACGCACACTAACCAATCAACAAATCATCTACCTAAGTGAAAATGTCAACTGAGCAGTCGCATTTGTTGTCAAGACTGGAAGAAAAATAAAAAATATGGGGTAGGAGGAGAGGAGATGACAGAGATTGGGTGAAGCAAAGTGTGAGGGATGGTTAAGTCAAATCAAAACCTGAGGCTCACAAAGAATAGGAAGAACGTAGGAGTAAAATAAGCTAAAGTTACTTCCCCCTAACCCTAACCTGGGGAGCTTCGATACATGCACGTTTGATAGTGGATGTAAATTGTTGCGCCCACCTTCTCTCCAGAGTTGTTGCCTTTTGTGAGAATCTACCACAACTGAGATGTTTCACAAACAGAATGATTGCAGAAACGGCGGCTGTGATGGTACAGGTAGGCACCTCGGAAAAAAAGGTCAACCAAATGTCTCCCAACTAGATTGCTGAGGGTCCTATGCTCATACTGCTTTACTTGAAGTCTTCTGTGGAAATCTGCAGCCTTTACGCCTTCATTCAAAATAAATAATCACTGTAGGCCCTTCTACACATCCACAATTGTATAGGACTGCTGCAAGCAGTGCCGCCACAGTGTCTAGGAGATGGAAAATCCCTTTTTTACCTCAGTGTCAATAAAGTGAGTGAAATTTTTGTTGGCAATTAAATTCAATTAGCTGTCTCTCTTGTGACTGTCAAGTGTTTTTCGCATATCCTTAACCACTAATACCAAATCTAGGCATCGATTTCATTAATCAAAAATTAGAGGTCTAATTTTGAGGTAGGATTTAAAACCCTTAGAGGTGGTTTATCCTCCAAGGCTACTAAAGTATGGTAATTTTGCACTTCAACTTGACCACACCTAATTTTTGCTTTAATAATTAAATATTCATGTTAAATGCGCGGAAATTTCTAAATAATTGACTCAATAGCCAATGATCACAAACGGTAGACGACCACTGCAAAGTATGTATTTACGTAAAATTTCCAACACGTAGACCGAGGATTCTTCCAATAATGCCATCTATTCAAATGTAGGTACTTTCTGTCACATGCATATATTCATGGAAAACTCCTTTTCAGCTCAATGCGAGGTGCGTTATGACAGTTTCACCAGTCCCACTACTGCAGCATCATTTTTCCATCAGCAGCAAATAGTTAGCATTTCCCAATATACTGCTGTATCAGGGAGACAGAAGAGAATGAACTAAAGCAATTTTGTTAATGCAGTCCAAAAAATTTGACTTAAACCTGTTAAGTTACCCTTCAAAAGCATTTTGCCTTTCAGTGTGGTCGTCAGACAAAAGTTTCTAGTGACACGTAAATACATACACTAGGTGTTGTAAAGTGTGCATTAAAAAGAGGCAAATCTTGAAATCGGCTAGGTGTTGAAATGCTTAAGTGTCGAATTAGACAAAAAAAGGGGGTAAAATCGTTTAAATGACACCAGCAATTTAACAAATGGAAAAGGCAGAGATGCTCCTCTCCTACAAAATATTGTCCAGCTAAACCCAGTTTTTAACTCCCACTATAGAACTCAAGACCATGGAAAAGAAAGAATAATACGAGGGCACCTGATGGTCAGTAGACCCCTTGTGCATAAAACCAAGCGGTAAAATCACAAGGTAACATAGCATATCAATGCCAGGGATGAATAGAAAAGACATATTTCTCGCCATAGGGCATGAAGAATTTTGCCTCTCAGGCTTTGTAAGTGGGGAAAACAATAAAGGGCCCCCGACAAATGAGCACTAATAGTAACTAGAAGCTCAAAATTCAGGTATCTTAACTTTTTAAGTCCTTTTTCTGTCTGGGGTGCAAACCTTAAGCTGATACTCCGCATAACAACCTCTGACACTGCTTTTGGTGCCTATCAGGGTGTGTCGAAATGTCGCCACAAAACACTAAGGCGACCTAGAATTTCGCCCTCTTGATTTACGGGTAGTGCACCTTTTCACAATGCTTCACTGCAATTCAGCGATGTCTTTCAATGAGAACGTGTGCAACCCATCAGGTAAGCTCATTTACGAAGCTAATTAAGATTATAGCTCCCTTGTGTATGACATGGTGTATCCGTATTTAGGCCACACCTAGTGAGCATAGGCGATTTAACCAATCAAATTCCTTTTTCGACGGTACAGTTCATGCAGAATGCGTGCTCACGAGTAAACCTGCCGAATATTGTACTGATAAAATATAAGTAGTAAAAACTCTTCACGAGAAAATTATCTGTATCACCTTAGTTTGAGGTAAACGTGGTTAAACTGTTAACAGTTGGATTTCTTTTGAAACAAATTTACACTTAATAAATAGTAAAAGATGAAAGGAGGTCTCAAATAAAGGCTGCTAAGCCAATTAGTGTTG